TCGTGAGCCACCCGCTCGCCCGATCAAAGATCGGCCTCTAACAACCCATGATATGCAAATTTTGAAACATTTGTGTGCTTATTCTGGTTATTAGCCTAGATTACTATGTGATGGCACAACATACAAGTATAGAGCTAATAACCAGGAATAAGAAACACAATGGTTTCAAAATTTGATATCATGGTTAGTAGAGGCCGATCTTTGATCGGGCGAGCGGGGTGGCTCACGAAGTGGACCTTCCCCAATCGTACCAAGTTCCCGAGCCGAGGCAACTTTGGTTGATGACGGACACGTGGCCTTAGGCAAACGAACGTTCAGGGTTTTCTAAATTTCCCATTCTCCCAAAATAAAATATTTAGGTGGCGACTCTGTATCTGGCAAAGCAGTCCATGTTTGGCACTTCTTTTCTAAAAATCTGTTTTCTCAAAATGATTTGCCGGATTTGGACTCTTTGGTTCAGATTAAGAACCGTGACAATTGAAGAGTCCTGAGCTGTAGTGACCCCAATATCGAACAGAACGGGAGCTCACCCTCCCGGGGCGTTCGGGGGACGTCTACAATCGCGTCCATTGGTTAGCTAGTAAGTCTGATAGGTTATCACTAGGAAAGGTTCAAGGCCGAAAGCTACCTATCCTGATGCAAGATATTTTCGACTTATACTCTTTCGATAAAGTCTGCATATTATTGCATTTCCGTTGTCATCAAATTCCATTCATGTGGGGGATTGTTGGAAATGGTTTGGAAAAATCTGGGTTTATAACATATTTTTTCCTAACTTTGGTTTATTATTTAGGTGAGACCCATGCGTCGTTTTTCGCGGGTCAAAGTGGTAACGCGTTCTATGCCGCGTTATGATTCACGAAGTATATTTGGTTGCTCAAAACCATTACCAAGTGAATGGAAAATTGAAGCCAAAGTATGCTCCATGGAAATGGAGTTTTGGTGGAAAATCTTTAAATGATTGAATAAGGCTTGTCCCACAATGATTTGGTGGGAAGTTTTGAATGGGTTTATAAGGCATGGGCTTGGTACTTGGGGTGTGCCCTAAGGGGTACCGAAGTGTTGTAGAGAGGGAGGTTATGGGTAAAATAGGCTAGACTCATTGGACCAAAAAATCACTATACTACGCCGCCCGTCCGGCCGGTCGGGCGGGTTGGGCTGGGCCTGGGCTTGGGCGTGGGTGCGTGGTGCGTGGTTGGGTTGGGCTTGTTCGGCCCAATACCTATCTTTTTGGACCAAAAACATTTTATTTTAATTTTATTTTTTGGTAAAATAAAATCCAGAATCGGAAATAAACTGGTCTGGTTTTTTGCTGTACACCCAAGCAGGTCCCTTTCGTTTTTTGAACCCAACAGATTTAAATCTGTTTAAATTCAAAACCGAACAGTTTTCAACATGTCCAAACAGTGCCTATCTGTTTAAATTGAACAGGTTTTGCACCTGTTTAATTCAAAACTAACAGCCACAATTTTGCCTATAAATAGACTAGCCTCCCATTTGGATTATAACACCAATTTTCGTACTCCATCTTCTGCTATAAATCTCTACATTTTGCTACATTTAATTTCTGAAAGAAAGAGAGTAAACACTTAGTGTGTTCGTAAGGCAAACAATTTGTAGTGCTGCTATTGTTTGTAGTAGATCATTTCATCCTGGGAGATAGACGTCTATATTCTGAAAGCACCGTGGAGAGGACGAATCTGTCTTTAGGACACAGTGTCAAACACTGGACTTGATCAGATTATTATTCAAGAATTAATCAATTAAGTTATTTAATTTATTTTTGGTGTTATTATTATTTATTTAATTCAAATTTTAATTTTGTTTTTGTTACAAAATAAAATACGTTTTTATTTATTTATTTAAATCAGATTTTAATTTGTTTTTGTAACAAAATAAAATCTGTTATTTATTTATTTATTTTTATTTCTAGTTTGATTTTTGTAATCAAACATTCACTCTCCTTTCCTATTTTTCTTTATATTCTGTTTGTCATTTAGTACCCAAGCAGAATTAATTATTTTAAATACAATGAAGATTGTCCTACATAAAAATCTAGGGAAGCTATGACACTTTTGAAAAATGTTTTGAAAACTAGATAACATTCACTACAAACCATAGGAATGACAAGTTTAGGAAAAATCTAAAATTGCCTCTTTACTTGCAATCTTTAAAGTGCACCAAATCTGAGAATTTACTTTTGTTGGTAAATTAATGTTCTTGACTTCATGGATGTGGTTATTATCACTTGTTCATATGGTGGTATGATATTGTATATATTATGGTTATGTTCCTTATCATAGTCCTTTGGTGATGCCCATGCTTGTGACAGTTTGTTTCAGGTGACTGCTCGAGCGGTAAAAAGACCGTTCAAGCAGAGATCAGGTGCTCCTAGTCGTCACCCACCTGCCACCGCCCCCCACCACCCGCCACCACCCACTCGCTACCACCCGCCACCGTCACCCACCCGTCACCACCACCAGCTACCCACAACCCACCGTCACCACTTTCCACCACCGTCTTCCGCCGCCACTTGCCACCACTTGCCATTTCTTACTCTTTTTTATATTTTTAAATTTTTCAAAATATTTTTTCAATTACCAAACGCGTTTGTAGTTTATGTTTTTCTAAAAATAAACAAAAAATAAACAAAAATCAGTTTATAAAATTTTTGTAAATGTAAATTGAAAACGTAAACGTTACCAAACACACCCTTAGTGTGTTCGTTAGGCAAACAATTTGCAGTGCTACTATTGTTTATAGTTGATCATTTCATCTTGGGAGATAAATGTCCACATTCTGAAAGCACCGTAGAGATGACGAATTTGTCTTAAGGACACAGTGTCAAACACTGGACTTGATCAGAATAATATTCAAGAATTAATCAAGAAAGTTATTTAATTTATTTTCGGAGTTATTTTATTTATTTAAAATCAGATTTTAATTTTATTTTTTGTAACAAAATAAAATCTGTTTTTATTTATTTATTTCTAGTTTGATTTTTGTAATCAAATAAATTCTCTCTTTTCCTTTATTTCTTTATATTCTTGTTATTGTTTAGTACACAACAGAATTTAATCTATTTAAATACAATGAAGTGAAGATTGTCCTACAAGGATTCATTTGGATGTGAGTTGACTTTTTAACTATTTTAGTTTAGGGTTAAAAAGCTTCGTTTGTGATAGGTATTTTAGCTTCTTTTTTTTTGTTTTTGTGAGAGAAAAAATAAAATGATTATTATGTGGATGTAACATTTTGTCTTATTGGACTGAAAAATTTATTTTGTCTTTTTGTGACTATTTTAACTAAAAAGTTCCCGTTTAGCTTATGCCAAACGAGGGCTTAATAAGCTATCTTTATGGGGGTGTTTTGGCAATAAGCTAAAAAAATTGACTTTTGACTTTCCGCAAAACCCCTATATAAGATTCGTGTTGTGTTATTGTATTGTTAAAAACAGTAAATATTTTAGGAAATTGGGATTATTGGTACAATTGGCTGTTGTAAATCCTTGTGGAAGTTTTCTTTGAGTTTCTTTGAATAATTTGAATCGTTTATATTATAAAATTTGTTTAATATATTATCCATGTAAAAAATCAAATTGATTGGACATTTACAGTCCCATAACAACAGCATATTTATTTTTTGAAAATAAACAATTAATATAATTTTAATATTTTTAAAAAATAATTAAAACCTAATAATGAGCTTACAAATGCATAATTAATTTAATTATTTACATGAATAACATGTTTGATGTCCCTTAAAATATCAACAATTCAAATCATAAAAAAAAAAAAAGGCACGGTATCAACCCCGAAGTCATCATGGCAACATCCCCATGTCCATCTTTAAGATGCACTTCTTACTGTGCACTATATATTTTTCAGGAAAGGAAAATATCTTTTAAATGCATTTCCAATTTCCACTTAAAAAAGGTGTTCGGTTTTTTTTTCCTTTTATCAACGAAAATTTTTTTGTTGATGAAATTCAATAGACAAGCATAGTTGATAAAATTCCTCATTTAATCCCACTGAATGAATTTTTTAAAGAAATATTTAAAATGTCATTATTCTCTTTCTCATTTTTTCACTTCTTTTTTCCATTCTTTTTTTGATCCACCATAGCAGTTATGACTATCTATACTATGACAAAAAAAAAGGGGGAAAAAAAAAAGATAAATAAAAAAACAGATAATTTTAGGTATTTCACAATATTTAAGATGTCGGGTACAAATCACATGTTATTTTTTTTAATCAATTTATATACAAATTTTTACTGTATGGTTCATATTGATATAAATTGATAGTTTAAGATGACAAAGTATAGTTTTTTTTTTTTTTTTTGGGAGAGAGAGAGAGTAAAGTGATATTAACTGATAGTTTAAGAGAATAAACTGTAATTATCCTTAAATTTAGGCAAGGGCTACTAGAAAATGAATAGTCATTGAGTTGAATTTTTTTTTTTTTCATCAACAAAAATATATTGATGCAAATGAAAAAAAAAAGGTACAAAATACCAACAACAAAATTACATATAATAAAAAAAAAACCAAGAACAAAACATCAAAGCAAAAGGAAACACATTTAAGCTAAGATGGAATATGACTTCCAACTAATCCTATACAAAGACTTGGTCAAAAAAACACCTAATCAAACTAACCTCCCACCCAAACACACTAAGATTGTGTTTGACTCATAAATTTAAGTAAAAAATTGAAATGAAAAATGAAAGAGGTGATGAATTATAGTTATATTTCATTCACATTTCACTTAATTTTTCACTTTTTATTTTCAAATTCCTACCAAAATTCACGAACTAAACATAATCTAAGCTCATCAAGCAGAAATTATCTAGTGTTTTGAGAATATCACGTGATTGTGTGTCCAACTAATGATATTTTGTCATTTTCCCATACTATCATTTCTCCATGCTATTGAATGGACAACATCACCATAGTAAAAATATTCAAAATACTAAATAATTACTCCGCCGAAAGTGTATGGAAAAATTATTCTTGCTAGGTCATTTGCTGTTGAGCAAATAAAAATAAAAATTAGGAACTAATATAAATTATTCAATGTCTAGGTGGAGACTATGGAGAAAAGTAACAAAAGAACGATCATCAGCTCCCTCCTATAATAGTTGATAGAATTATACATGTATGTCTTTTGCTGTCGTCCACTTCAAACCCTGCACATGAAAAATTCCTTCAGGTCAATGTGTGAAGACGAAAACACAAAAATACAAAACCTAATATACCCTCTCTTGTCTATTCTTCTTGGAAGTACATTAAAATTACTCATGTGAATGTTGAAAATAATTACTAATTGACAAGGGTAATCTTGACTGTTGACAAATATCTTAATTAACAAGGGTAATCTTAATTAATTAATCAATAAATTAATTATTTTTTGCTTCTTGTGCTGTTACATTTATAATGGAGTTTAGTATTGATTTTTTAGTAGTTTTTATTTATTTTTTATTTTTTTTAAATCTAAGGAAACTAAACTGTTTTTGTAAGTAGAAAAAAATGAGTAACAATAAGCCAAAAAGTTGGCTTATTTAGCTCACTCCAAGGGGTCTAATTAAGGAAAACAAACATACATAGTGAGTTAACTAAGCCGTAAATAACTTAAGTTGAGTTGAATAACATATTATTCAGATTTAGTTTGAAAATTTAATGAGTTTTAAAATATATTTTAAGTTTGACTTGTTTATTTATTGAGTCAATTTCAAACGAGTTTTAACCATACCAACCTCGAGTAGCTTGGTTTTGTGGTAGCCCTTATCGAATTGAGTATTTAGTTGTTTATATTTGGTTTAAAAATTTAACGAATTTTAAGATATATATAAATTTATCTTATTTATATAACCAATTTATCTTAAATGAGGTTTGGCATTGGTTTCATTTAGGTTTAACTATAAATTTTTTGTTAAAAATTCCAAGCCACATGATTTTTCTTCATTCATGTGGAGCTTACATGGACTTCTTGTGGAACTCATGTGGAGTTTGTGTTTATGTTCCTTGAACAAAGATTTGATGATTTTAGTTCTAACTAAAATCAATTAGAACTTATAGAGGTAAACGTGTCACAATTTTAATTAAAAGGATTAATAATCACGAATCTCTTTTTTCTGGCTCTGTTTGATTCACATGATTAATAGTAAAAGGATTAATAATTCATGGAATTAATGTAAGATTGGTTATCCACTTAGATTAGTGAGATAAATAATTTTCACTTGTCCACATTTCTTTTGCAATGGGTATGAATATATAATTCCAATTATATGTTTGTTTTGAATTATTAATTGTAAAACTAAAAAATTCACAATTTTTGTTGGACTGAATGTCCATCAAAATCAACCAAGGCATTTGGCCTAGTGGTTATATAACACTCTTTGTAGTGTAAGACCTGGGGTTCAACTCCTATAAAAATGAGTTTGATATCCTTTGTGGTAGTGTTTATCTCTCCCCTATTACGTGGTTGTACTAAGTAACAGTGGAGTTATTGTTGGGCTTGTGCTTGGTAGGCTTTGTTGACTTTCTAACTATTGTGGAGTAATAGTCTGTTTGATGATATAATATTTCTCATGTTTGTAATTATTCTCCTATCGATTGACAAAAAAAAAAAAAAAAAAAGAATGTTCATCGGAATCTAACCCGAATAATAAAAATTGCAACCAAAATTAATAATCTCAATCTTATATTATAATCTCCTGATCAAACAGGACTTATGAGTCTAAACACTTGTTGCATTTATTTTATTAATAATCTCAATCTTATATTATAATCTCCGGATCAAAATTAATAATCTCAATCTTATTCATTGTTTGTAAAGATGTGTCACTAATGATGCACTCAACTTGGCATAAAATTTAAACAGAAACATGACCTAATTAATAATTTCGATATACAAAAGGGTATTGTCCAAATGACATTTGGATGTGTGTTTAATAATTATGCAAACCTTTGCATGATTATTAAACACATGGTTGGTAGTCTTATTATCTGATGAGCAAGGATCCTCTACAGGATCCTTGGTGTATCTCGATAGTTGAGAATGTGGGTTCGACTCTCTTAAGAGGGCATAATGTTGTGATATTTATAAATTCCCCTACTGATTAATGAAAAAAAAAAAGAAGAAGAAAAGACTTACTGTTGAAATTCAATGTTAATGGATGGGGGTGATCCATTGGCAATTGCTCCAAAAGCTGTAGTAGAGAGAACCATGGTGGTTCCACCCCTTGAAGGCCTTGAAGCCGATGTTTGTGCTCTGTCTACTATCTTCACTTGTATTGTTTGACTTGGATTGCAACTATTTGGTGCTGCTGCACTAATACACCTCACCAAGTATTGCCTCCCACAAGCTGCCCCATTGTCCCATATCCCCTCTCCGGCTGCCGCGAACAGATTGCTTGACGGAAACTGAGACCCGTCGTTGCCGCTGCATGCGGTGGCTGTTTCAATCCAACCACCCGACAACAACACATTAAAAAAAAAAAAAATCATGTTTTGAAAATTCGGTTTGGATTTTCGGTCTCTAAATTTTTCTTTTGTTCCTGTCCCGATTGTGAATGTGAGACACGGAGATCAGTTTTTCTATTTGTACAAAATTCATTTATTCCTGTCCCGATTGTGAATGTGAGACACGGAGATCAGTTTTTCTATTTGTACAAAATTCATTTATGGAATCAGACATCAACTCTCATAATGGGTGTGGAATCCGTCAAAAAAAAGATAAAATTCCGTTCATGTGAGACAATTGTGTTGAGTTATGTAATCCATTTCCGTTTACATCTTTTTAAAAGACAGAGGGTTTGATTGTGGAAAGAATTGGTTATGATTTGTAAATGATTGATTGTAATTGTGGAGTGGGTACTTACGTATATATGGTGGAGCATAGCTGGCAGCAGTGCCAACATCGGCAAGAGAGAGATGTGTAAAAAATGGCAAGAAGAGAGAGAGGCATACAAGAGGAACTGCTGGGGATTCATTGACATCCAGAGATGAGGCACCAGCTTTGGTTTGATCCCACTGAGGACTTTCACTCCTATTCTATCCTCTGGAATTCTCACCAGATTCTGTGAGTCTCTCTATTAATTCATTGATTTGTTACTACTATTTTTTTAACTTCAAATTGTCAAAGACTTGCACCATATAATTTATTTCTCTCTAGTCCACATTCATGTGAGACAATTGTGTTGAGTTATGTAATCCATTTCCGTTTACATCTTTTTAAAAGACAGAGGGTTTGATTGTGGAAAGAATTGGTTATGATTTGTAAATGATTGATTGTAATTGTGGAGTGGGTACTTACGTATATATGGTGGGGCATAGCTGGCAGCAGTGCCAACATCGGCAAGAGAGAGATGTGTAAAAAATGGCAAGAAGAGAGAGAGGCATACAAGGAGGAACTGCTGGGGATTCATTGACATCCTCTTTCTGCACAGAGAAAAACACCAACTGATTGATGTTGGAAAATGCTTATAATCTTTACATACATGTCTTCAGTTTATATATATATATATACAATTTACAAACTATTGAAAGTCAACTCATTGATTTTAATAATGTAGAAGGTTTCAACAAACATTGAAGGCTGAGATATGAATATGAAATAAAAGTTCTGACTTTGCGGTTTAAGATTTTGTTAATTTGTGCTCTCTTAATATATATTAACGGTTAGTATACACGATGTATATGCAATTTAAATCACTACATATTGTGTGTGATTTAAGGATTGGCTGACTGAAGTTCAAGTTCCATTTTTTTTTGTTTGTTAAATGGGTTGATTAATTGTTTTAACTTTAAAAAATAATAATATTACTTGCATTTACAAGTGAATAAACAAAATAATTTTGGTAATACTTGCCTTTTGGATTTTTTAGTTAATGCATTTAGGAAGTTATTAAAAAAAGGGTTCGGTTGAAAAATTCAATTTTAAATTTTATTTATCCAAAGTCCAGGCATTAATTTATTATGTCCATAAGAACAATGCCTTATAAAATGACCAAACTATCTATGTATATATATATATTATTTTCTAAATCAAACCCTAATCAAACCATAATCTCTGTCTCCCCTCTCCCTCTTCTCTCCAACAATGGCTTCAATCAACTTCGGATCTCGACTCTCCCCTTCAACTTCTTCAACCAAACGCCAATGTTGAAGAAGATTGCAGATTTTTTAGACAATGCATATATATAATACATACATGTGTAGCACTAGCACTGTAACAGATTTTATGGATCATGGATCATATGAATATAGTGGTCTGTATGTGTATATACATATATGTATGTATGTATATATGCTGTTGAAGAAAGCATTGAAATGCTATATCCCCAATTGTCAGTGATTTTATGAATTTAATCACTTTATATTTGATTTTAATTGACAATTGATTATAGTAGCATTTAATAAATTGTTGAAAACTGTGTCTTGTATGATCACATTGTAGTGGTAGTGCATGTGAAATTAGTTTAAGGGGAACGCTAGAGCTAGAGCTACTGGAAGCATACACAAAACATATTCTCTCTCTCACAAACTTTTTTACAGTCAGCAACTTTGACCAAGGTAAGTTCAAAAACATGTTTATTTATGGGTAGAGGTAGGGTATACCAATTGAACAGATAAAATAATTTGGGATAAAAAATTGAACAAATAAAAAATTCAATAGATAAATTTTTTAAACAAAAACAATTGAACAGTAATCGATTTGAATAGATTAATAAATTATTTAAATTTGATTTAAAAACTAAACAAGTTTCAAAATATATTCAAACTTAGCTTATTTTCAAGAAGATTTGAAATGAGCAGTAATCGTGGGCTCAGAGTAACGAATTTTAAATGAATTTAAATTTAACTTATTTACATAATAAATGAATCGGTGGTGCTACATGCACCAATTAGTGTACTAACTAGTGTATCAACACTAGTTATGATATTATTATTGACCGCACTCATTATTTACATTACAAATCCCAAAAACTTCTTAAATTATATTACATCATCAATTGGTACACTGGTTAGTACACTAATTAATGCATATAACATTATTTTAAATGAATTTCAAATTTCAAATCAACTTTTAAAAACCTTATCATAAGTAGAGTTCGTATAACTATGAATTGAAAATAAAGTCAAGGAAAAAAAATAACTGAAGTTTTGTCAATTCTTTTTTTTTTTATTTTCATTTGTCACCAAAATTTTTTCATTTAAATCGAAGATCTAGATACATTTGGACACGAGGATTCTTAACCAACATCTCTAATAATATACTACACTTCAAAATAAAAAATAAAAATAAATAGCATTCAAACTTAGAAGGTACTATTAAATTAATTTTCATGATTCATTTATAGCTACAACATTTGGTGGCAGGGGCATCTTAAAAATACTATTCAGTTAGAGGTTCATTTCTAGAATTTTTAAGGTCAAAAGGATAATTATAATTTAAAAGATTATTTTATTCCTATCTATCTTTCTATTTATTTATTGTCCACCTCTTCTCTGGCTACATGTCAGTCCGTTATTTATTCATGTATTATTTATCTATCCACCTAATATACTTATCTGTCTATATTATCACTAGCACCACTGTCACTGCCACCAACTTTTCCAACAGTGGGGTTACTATTGGAAAAAAAAAATTAAAAATTATTCTTTTCACCAAACAATTTTATTAAATATATCTTTATCACAAAAAAGGACCAAATCTTACACCAAATAACATATAGCTCCATGGGTGTATACTTTTCATCCATTATTATCCATAAAAACAATACAGTTATGGGTTGGCAGTTGAGACCTATTCCCACCTCGTGAACATTGGCATATCTGTGCATACACATATAAGGATACTCAGTCATTATACGGCTGCCGACTTCATAATAAACAAATATGGATAACGGTTACTTAATGTTCGTATTACACACTTCTCTCATTTATATATATAGATTTATTTATTTTACCTCCACGTGGCAACTTGTATATTATTTATTTTTAAAAAATTAAATTGAGCGTCGTTGTTTTGTTTGATTCTCACACCAAAAACGTTCATTATGATTGATTTTGATTAGTGCATGATTTTGCGAGTCATAAGCATGCACTAACCAAAATCGAGTAAGATGATGATATATTACTATGCAAGTTAGCATCATTTTAGTTTTGAAATTTATTAATATCTATTGAATACAAAAATAATCTTCTAGAAATAACATAACATAACATAACATGCACGCTCACAATAAAGGTTAAAAAAAGGAAAAATTACTATTTAGAGTGGGTTTTGAAATTATTATACAAATGTGAAAAAGATAATGATTTTAATTATTAATATTTATATTATTTTTTATAAATATTTTCCCTAATCAACACTGATATGTATTTCTCCCTCAAAAAAATCCAAACCCACATGCTACATCAAAATATATAATAAGACGATAATTTACGAATTAGTTAATTACACCAAACTAACAAGTTTTACTCTATGAAAATTTAAACATGGTAATTTTTTAAAAGCATAAAACAACCTAATTTATTTATTTATTTTTTGTCAATGGATAGATGATTATCTATAAATATAACAAATTACAATAAATTAGATAACCAATTATATAAGAAAGTCTAACGATATATAAGCATAAAACAACTATAACCACCATTAAAAAAAGCACACACAATTCTAACAACTACATAAATACAAGAAAAGCGTCATAATAAGACTTGACCTCTCAGTTGAATTGAAAGTATGTAAGGATGTCTAATTGAACTACTCCAGTTGGTTAACCTAATTTAAAATAGAGATGCATTAACTCTAATACATAAATTTTTTTTATTGGCATCAGAGTGTTGGTTCAAAACTCGACTAATTTCTAGAAGTGCGCAATTCCTCAGTAAGAAATTTTCTGTAAGTGCACCAAAATTAGTCGAATTTTCTTAAGTGCACCAAAATTAATTTTAAAAAATTTTCCTAATCCGATGGCTCCAAAAAATTATTAACACCTAAGAAGTTTTAATCTTAAACCTTGGAGGGAACACACTCCCAAAACTCAAAACACTCCCAAAACTCAAGACCTTACCACCAAGCCAACCCTTGGAAGTTTCCCACAACTCTAATCCACATATTGCACGTTGGAAATCAATATCAATATATAATTGCTTGCAACAAAATATTCAAGAACAACTTTAAATTGTAATAACCCTACAATCCGTTTGGATTGATTGATTTTGAGAGAAAAATGAAAGAAATCGATTTCTCCCATTCTTAATTACTTGTTTAAAATACTAAAGAGAAGAGAAGCGAGAAGAAATGGACATAAATAGAGAAAAATTCATTTCTCTTCCAACTTGCTTTCTGAATCTCTCTAAATTTGGAATAATTATTAATTTTATAAGATATCGAAATTGTCCATCTAAGTACTAAAGAAATATAAGCATAAAAAGTTATTTTGGTAATATAACTTATAAGAGTTTCTTTTATTTTATTTTATGTAGTCCATCAAAATAAAATTGAAGATAAATCGGTATCTTTTTTGATTTTCCTTAGTTTACCAAACAAAAAGGACAAAAATCACAATCTCTTCTTTTCTTTTCTTTTCCCTCATAATTTAACAAATCAATTCTTTCTCCTCTTAATAGCCAAACATATATAGTAGAATAAAAGACAAGGCCACCAGCACAACGAAGGTTTTTTTTTTTTTTTTAATGACCGGGTGTCCAGATTAATTTACATGCATCTCGATTAATTCCGTAACTTACGTAAAATGCTCTCTCCACGTGGATCGGGCAGAACCCACGAGCGCGGCACATATATAGCTATGAGAGAGAGAGAGAGAGAGAGATGGATACATACCTCAATTCTTTCTCCTCTTAATAGCCAAACATATATAGTAGAATAAAAGACAAGGCCACCAGCACAACGAAGGTTTTTTTTTTTTTTTTAATGACCGGGTGTCCAGATTAATTTACATGCATCTCGATTAATTCCGCAACTTACGTAAAATGCTCTCTCCACATGGATCGGGCAGAACCCACGAGCGCGGCACATATATAGCTATGAGAGAGAGAGAGAGAAAGAGATGGATACATACCTCGTGGAGCTTTTGGATTGGAGAACAGGCCTGTGAAGATAGGAGGTGAAAAGCTTCATACAATACAACTGCTGGCTCATTGAGAAATTTACATCAAAACCAATATCATTAAAGAAGGTAGTTTTTTTTTTTCAAATCAGATTGCTAAGAATATTGTATGGATAGGCACACTTCAAAAAGAACATTATCTCTACAGTAAAGTTTGTTAAAGCGAAAGTTGGGCAATCCTTATCCTGAAGCAAATAGTCTGAATGAGATAGCTTGTTGTAACAAAATATAAACATATTCCTTTGAAGAATGAGTTGTCCAGGTATTTCAGTTACATGCTCAGGAGAAGCAACATTTCGAACAGTAATATTAGTTTGATATTATGATGTTTGAGTGATGCACAAGTTATCTCAACCAGTTAAAAACTAATCTCTAGTAAATTTCATAATTTTAAAAATTTATAGAAAAAATTGTTGAGAAATCCATTTCTAAGGGAATGCATGGCATTAGATCCTATGATTGTTTCATTTCGTATGTAACATTGTGATTAATGCAATTATTTGGTGAGAAGAATAAATTATTATCGTTAAGTATAATTTTTTTTTTTAATTTTTACTCATTGTTGTTTGACCGCCGGTGGCTAGAAATGTCGCTGGAGGTGGCTAGCTGCGGCTGGTGGCAGTGATATAGACAAATAGGTACATTAGGTAGACAAATATGTAAATATATAGGTAACACGTAAATAGATAAGTCATATTGGACAAATAAGTGAACAAATAATTGATAACTGAAATAGTGAACAAATAGGTAGAGATCATATCATCTTTTAAATTGTTATTATTCTTATCTGTATGGTCTCTCAAAATATTAAAGTTTGGGGTTATTGGCTAAAAAATTATAAAATTAGATTAATGACGCAAGTTTTTTTTGAACGGCAAAGAAGCTTTATTGATGAAGCACAAAAGGGTACATAAAGGGGAGGTAGGAGCTAGACAAAGCACCTACCACCAGTTGGTGAGAAACCAACAAAAAAGAAAACAGAAAACAGAAAACACACCAACACTGCTGAAACAGATTACACTCCAGACAGCATAGAGCTAAGACAGATTACACACCAAGCAGCAAGAGCCAAAGCAGCATAGCTACTAGAACCTGCAGTACAATGCACTACTAAGAAACAGACCAAGACGACCTGCAGAACCTGTTGTTATTTAACACACCAACACTGCTGAGACCAAGACAGTACAAGCCTCTGAGTTATTGAAGACAACTTGTCAACAACTCTGCATAACTACACCTGGGCCTCCACTCAAGGCAACAAACAGGGGAGCTCTGTGTGCAGGACAACACATCTAGGAACTACACTCACTAAGTACAACCCCCCACCCAACCCTCCATAACCAGCAGACACCCAGGCAGATATCACTCAGACCTTCCACACACCAGATATACACCCAGGCAGCAAACCACTACAACCATCATGAACTGACAACTCTACCTTCTAGTGCCCAACCCACATATGCTGCTACTGCACACCAGCAGATGGTAGAATATAGGCCAATCACTGCTGCAGCTGCAAATACACTCAACCCCGGCCACCTAAACAAACCCGAATCTGGCTGATATTAAAAAGAAAATCATTGATGGAGAATGGCCAATCCTTAGAGGCTGCCTTCAGCCAAATAGCTAGCCTGATAATAATGGACTCCTTAAGCTCCTCCATATCCGGTTGAACACAATTAAACAAGCAATTGTTCCGATGTTTCCAAATAGACCACATTGCAACCAGAGGGATAGCAAGCCAAACTCTCCTTTCAGCTTTCATGAGGCAGGTGCCAGCCCACCAGTGCAGCAAGCCTTCAACAGAGCCAGGTACAACCCAAACCAAACCCCACCACTTCACTAAACCAGACCAGACCTTCCAGATCAGAGGACAAGAAATTAGGACATGTGAAGCAGATTCTACCTCTGATTTGCAGAAAATACACTCAGTTGAGGCTTCCTCACCCAACACTCCAACCCTTTGAAGAAAAGCAGAAGTTTTGATCTTATGTTTCCAAGCTAGCCACCCAAAGAATTGAACTTTGGGTGGGACATAATTAATCCACACCAGTCTAGAAGTACTTGCAGCTACACCAGAACCCAGATCACAATTCCTGTAAAGAGAAGCAACAAAGGATTGACCTGGTTTACAATCCAGCCACCTTGGATTATCTTTAACCCCCAAACTTAACCTAGGAGCTGCTGTTAATATATCAGTGAGCCTGAATGCCTCCTCAACCTCCCACTGCCTCAAAGGCCTTCTTAGACAAAGATCCCAAGCCCCAGAGATACCTTTTTTGTCAACAAAAAATTTTAAAGAACCATTCTTCTCTGTAGAGAGTGAAAACAGTCTAGGGAAAACCTCTTTAAAACAAAAGCCACCATGCCACACATCAAGCCAAAATCTCACTCTATTCCCATCTCCCACTTTAATTTGGAAGTTGTTGGCAAAAAATTGGAATAGATTGGTACTATGTTCTGCCACTGCTATAATATCACCCCATAACTTTGACCATCTTCTACCACCAGTTTGATTTGGGAACCAAGCTCCAGCTTCAATTTTATACTTCTGACAAATCACCTTTTTCCATAATGCTTGATCTTCAAGTTATCTCAACCAGTTAAAAACTAATCTCTAGTAAATTTCATAATTTTAAAAATTTATAGAAAAAATTGTTGAGAAATCCATTTCTAAGGGAATGCATGGCATTAGATCCTATGATTGTTTCATTTCGTATGTAACATTGTGATTAATGCAATTATTTGGTGAGAAGAATAAATTATTATCGTTAAGTATAATTTTTTTTTTTAATTTTTACTCATTGTTGTTTGACCGCCGGTGGCTAGAAATGTCGCTGGAGGTGGCTAGCTGCGGCTGGTGGCAGTGATATAGACAAATAGGTACATTAGGTAGACAAATATGTAAATATATAGGTAACACGTAAATAGATAAGTCATATTGGACAAATAAGTGAACAAATAATTGATAACTGAAATGGTGAACAAATAGGTAGAGATCATATCATCTTTTAAATTGTTATTATTCTTATCTGTATGGTCACTCAAAATATTAAAGTTTGGGGTTATTGGCTAAAAAATTATAAAATTAGATTAATGACCCAACTGTCCAAATTAAGGTTCAATACCTCTTCCATATTCGCTTCACAGAAAAGTAAAGAGTCATCAGCAAATTGAAGGTGTGAAACAACCACCCCGTGTCCAAAACTATCCAATTGTTATAAGGTGTCCAAAACTATCCAATTGTTATATAGTTTTTTACTGGCGGTAAGCCCGTGGTATACACGGGATATGAAATAAATTAATAACAAAAGTTTGACATAAATAATATAAATAGTTAGACTTTTATATGCAAAATACAAAAATGAAAAATATTAAAACTCACAATTGGATTTGTGTAATAATTTTTAATAATTGAAAGATATTGACAATCACAATTGAAAAATATTAAAACTCATAATTGGAAATTAACCTTTTTAATAATTTTTTAACTTATTACGAAAAGTCACGTAAAAAAGTAGAGATAATTAATTGACAACTTACAATGACTTTTTGATAAAAAGTCACTCTTCCCAAACATGGCTCACAATTTTACCATAATGACATGCATTTTATCTGTCAATTTTTAAGTTGTCACTAACTCAACTATGTAATTTCCTCTCCCTTTGCTAGAGTAGCAAACTTTCGCAAGTTCAACCAGAGCAACTTGAACCTAACTCAAAACCTTTTAATAATTAAGTGTCTGGTGGTGGATATATAGGTAGCTGCGGGTCAAGTTCTGCTGGTTGCAAGTGTTGCTGGTTGAAGGGGGTGCCCTGAGGAGTGGTGGTTGAGTGTGTTTGTGTTCTGTGCAGCATAGCAGCTTTGGTTTTTAGTCTGCTCTGTCACCATGGGTGGACTGCTGGCTAAAACAGACTCTGATCTGTTTGGGTGGTGTTTTTTTTTGTTCTGTTTACTCTGCTGGTTTGTGAGGTCCGGGTTGTGTGGTTTGGTTTGGTTTTTGGTCTGTCTCTTTCGTTGGTTCCTCACCAACCTTGGGGTGCTAGCAAATGATAGGATGAGTTTTTTGGTGCCAACCTAGTTGGGATCATTTACCTCATTGTGATGCTCCTGCACTCCTCTTTTCTTTATTGGTGTAATTTATTTCGTACCTTGTACTAGCTTTTACATCAATGAAGTTTCTTTTTTTGCTGATCAAAAAATAAAAAAAATAAAATAAAATAAAAAAATAATGACATGCATTTTATCTGTCAATTTTTAAGTTGTCACTAACTCAACTATGTAATTTCCTCTCCCTTTGTTAGAGTAGCAAACTTTCGCAAGTTCAACCAGAGCAACTTGAACCTAACTCAAAACCTTTTAATAATTAAGTAACATATTTTTTAATTTGGTGAGGGCGTGAGCAACCTATGATTTTTTTATTTATTTTTAGAATGGATAAGCCAAAGAGCAACCTGTGATTGAAAACACCAATATGGATATAGATAAATATAGATCATCCAAAGTTGGTCAAGCCATATCATGGATCATGTTCTATCTCTAACCCTAGACCTGACCAAGAAAAATTGATTAGTCAATTAGTAGAAATATTTTATAATAATCAATTTAAATCAACTAATATCTATTATATAAATTCAATGAATCATAAAAATTTATCCCGAAAGTGGGAGTATAATATAGGTTTAAAATTAGTGAGATGTGTGCCGCACTCATAATAGATGTAGACCATTGTTTTTTTATTTTTGGAATATTTTGTGTGGTAGATTTTATGGATTTGCCTATTTTACCATAGAACTTATTCAAGTGAAAATTTTATGTCAATTTTTAAAAATATTTGTAATTATTAATTTGAAGTTCATACTTCAAAATTTTGAACTTTTTTTATTTTTTCAATAAGATTGTGACATGTGTACTTGAAATTTTTTACCATTTGATAAAATGTGATTTACAGGTAAAAAATAATTTAAAATTATATTTGATTCAAATTTTCTATGGACTTTATTTTTAAATTTAAAATTAAATATAGCTTAGACATAGCTAAAAAAAATGACCACCTAACCAAAAAGATAGAGCTAAAATGATTTTTGACAGTTTGTGTACATTTTTTTTTTTTTTGAATTTAGATAAGTCAATAGTCTTAAATTATATTTATTTTTGGTTTCAAATATTTAAAAAAAATGAATAATATTTTGGAAATATATATTTTTATAATTTTAAATTATATAATACTAAAATTAAATTTAGAATTTCATTTTAAGGATTTTCAAATATCAAATTAGATGTGGCTTAGATATGGTTAAATTTATTTATTTGACATTCTATATATAAATATTTTTTCTTAAAATTTAAAATTATAGATACAGTTAAACCTGCCAATAATTTTATGTCACTTGTTTTTCTTAACTATTAAAATTAAAAATTTTATATTAATGTTTTGAAATTCTTAAAGTCTCTTAGATCATTTTTTTTTTTTTTTTTTGCTCGACAACACACTAATTTTATGTTACTTGTATACTCTACACCTAAGAAACACACTAATTGATAAATTAAATAGTTACTAAATAGAATTAAAAATGAAAATTATGAAAAATATAATTATTAATTTTTTAAAAACTACATATATAAAATGAATAATTGATACAATTCCTTTTTTTAATTTTTTTTTTTTACTTATAATCTATTTGATAGAGTTATAATAATCACAAACTTTTATTAATATATGACACATTGACATATTATATATCTTAGAAATAAAAAATATGCAAAAAAATCTCATACATAGCATTGGGGCCAACAACTATTTGTAGTTACCTTAGAAATTGAATGAGGCGTCCATGGTTATCATCACATATGGGCATGATCTATTGTTAACCAAGGGTGGATGGACATAGAGATTAGATTGTCGACATTGATTTTGCAGATCGTGTTCATTGATTTCGTAGATTGTGTTCACTGATCCATGTATCTACACTACAAGAATAAACACATTTGCCGACTAAAGATTTGGTCGGCAAAAGTCCAATTTTTGGTCGACAAAACATATTCCCGACCAATTTTTTTGGTCGCCAAGTTGGCAATTCCTACTGGGATTAAAAAAAAAAAAAAAGGATTAATTAGTTAGATAAAATATATAATATCTTTTATTATAGAAATCAATTCCTTAAAGGATGCGTATATTATATTGTTAGGTATCAAATTTAAATTCCTAAATGATAAGTGAATTCAATAGCCAATGATATTTTTCTCTTTTTAAAAAATAACAAAAAATCAACATAATTGGATTGTAGTTTTGAAGCTCCTAGAGCTCTCAAAATTAAAAACCCCTTTTTACTTATATAATATACTAGCCTATCACCCGTGCTATGCACAGAATAATTATAGATATTTATATTTTTTTTTAGATTTTTAATATATAAATTATGTTTTTTAAGATTTTTTATAAAAATAATTTAACAATCTTATCACTAATCATAGTGTATGAGAGAAGTTGAAACAGGTACTGCAATAACTATACATGGATTGTATCTATAGTTATTTGTATGAGGGGATTTTAAATGCTGATTAAAGGATTTTGACCAAATCAATAAATGTAGGCATGTGGAAAGACATGTGGATTGGAAAAAGTTAATAAATGCTGATCAGGAGATTTTGACCAAATCAATAAATGCTAAGGTTTTTTTTTTTTTTAATCAAAAAATTAGGAAATTAGGATTGGCATATTGAAACTCTCACAAGGCTTGGGATTAAAAATCTCATTTTGCTTAATATGTAGTATAGATAAAAAGATAAATAGATAGATAGATTACTACATAAAATCTAAATCGTAAACAATAAAAAATAATTATCTTCAATTAAAAAAATTATATTAGCTATAAAATCCCGTTTCAGATACTTTTTTGATCACCTACATACAATTACCTGAGGCTTAAATATGGAAATAATATTAAAATGAAGTATTAGTACCAACTTCCTATTGTATGTTTGATCCTAACTTAGCCTATTCAATATTCGTATTATCAAGTTATGTAGTATTGGTTGCTCGTGTCAAAAAATGATTAACCTTAATCCGCTACTTCATATGTAATTCATGTTGTATTATCATTGTGAGACTCTAAAATCTTCTCATATAAATTGTCTGCACAGTTCAATAAAAAGATGAGTTTTATCCCAATAAACTGCAAAATAGAACATCATTGATGCGAACCGATCGGTGGTTTTTGGCTGAAGACAGTCTGATGATAAAGTTAGAACTCTTGTTGTGAAACTGAAAAGAGAAGTAGATAACTTTCAGTGTAGGTAGGAATTAAGGCATACCTCTCTTTCAAGAGGTGGTCGTCTTTTTATAGAGATAGTGATCCTGCCCTAGTTGTGTTGTCTAATGGACTTCTTTACTTGGGCTTGACCTAACCTATTGTTTAGTCTTATTTAGATTGGTCTCAAGTGAGTAAATTTTGAGCTTCCACAATCACAATCGATAATAAACAAAGAGAAATGGGAAGAGTAGTTACTGGGTGTGCGTGATGCGGTTTGGATAGTTTAAGAATAAAATTATAAATTGAATAGTAGATTAGCGGATTGTTAAATTGACAAATTGTAGTTTGGACAGTTTTGAACAAATTGGTTGATTGAAGAATATTTTAATCAATTATCAAATTTTTACATAACATATAACACTAACTTGTATAATATATTTCATATACATTACACAAACTAATTTTACATAATTTTTTTTCATATATGTATTTGATATTTCATTATAAATTAAAAAATATATATATGTATTAATTATAACGGAGCGGAGCGGTTCTAAAAGCGGATTATAAATTTTAAAATATAAACCGTGGTTAACGAATAAAGCGATGCAGATTAATACGAATCGGTACAATTTTAACTAATTAGGCGATATTTTATACAATCCTCTATATTTAATATTTTTATTATGTTATATAAGAGGTGACATCAAATAATATCTAAATATAATACTTAAATACAATCACTAAATACAGTCACATTGCTTTACTTACATGCAAACAACTAACAAGACGTTAAAACTATAGTCAACATGGAGCATGCCTTCCAAGTGAGGGCTTAGGGATTGTTTGGAATTTGTTTATTTAGTGTACCTTTCGATTTTTTT